CACATATGTATATATTTTCTCTCTCCTTACCGGTACTGCAGTAGTTAGCGCATGCAGCTACAGCAGGAAAATCCATGGTTCAATTTTTGACAAGGAAACTGCACAATTTTCATGTTTCTTGCTTCGACAAACCAAATAACTCTGCAGTGACGCCCGAACTAAAATGCGGTGTTAGGAGGCCCGGAGCTCGGATCTCGGCCAGGGCACTGCACATTTTTCATGTTTCCTCCTTTGACAAACCTATTGATTCTACATCTGCAGCATTTTGCGCAGGTGCACTCCAAACGGCGTTTCACTTTTCAAATAGTTGCCACCAAATATTATCTCCCTGTATAATATTTAATGAAAATTAAATAATGAAGAATCTTCACGAATGTATGTATGTTTCTTGCACTGTGAAAAAACAACGGTACCGAGAGACATCGGATTCTGAATAACGTAGTCCTCCACCCGAATATGGCATCTGGAAGCTAAAATTTGGAGTTTGTTTTATTATCTATTTCACATTTTGCAAAACTTTAACGAATTTTTAAATTACAAACTCAAAGATTTCAAAGCGACCAATGGCAACTAACACGGGGGGGGGATATCTCCAGCGCGAGACTGTGCATAAAAAATCTAAAGATATGCTCTTTTTAAATTATTTTATGATATTGCTGTTGAATTGAATTTTATGGTTTAAGTTCGAAGTACATGATATTTAATAAATAAAGGTAACACACAAAATGTTAAAAAAAAAGCTTCTTTGGGCGTCATGTAAAATCTGAAACCTTTCAGTATTTTTTTTAAAACGAATGAAAATAATTTGAAACACATAAATAAATTAACGGTAAACTTGATTTCTTTTGACCTGGGAAAAAGAAGCAAGCGAGTGGGGTAACCAGAAATCAGGTAATGATAATTCTATTATAATTAGTAACTTTATCTTATTAAAGGAATTGAGATTCCTTTTTTTAGTAAAATGAATTAAATATACACTAAATTTTGAGAAAAACAGATTCTTCCAACTCAGGAAAAACTTTGTTCAGAGAAGAGATTCAAATCGAGAATCCAAGCCAAGATAAAGTAATTAATGATCTCAGATTTTATCATCTGGACCACTCCATATTTGAATGGACCAACTCCATAATATGAAACAGCTCCATATTTGAATGGAATTTCCATATTCAATGTACTAGTGGCATTCCGAGAATTGAATTATCTGCTTCATCGGGTTTTCGTGGACTTTGCAAACGCTTTATGTAAGTGCAAGACATTTTGAGGCAAGCCAAACTCGCTCAAAATCACTTCAATAAAAAACTACTGAAAAAAATCTCGCATACATTGAATATATAAACACCAATTCGTTTAAAATAAAGGTCCGCTTTAAAAGTAAAAAGATTTACATATATAAATATGCCATATAAAACCTCATTTAATAATTATAACACATCTTAATAACATTTATCGTTTTTGAAAAGATCAAAATATTTTTTAAAAAACAGCTCGTTGTTTTGAATACCGACCCCTTTTTTAAATTCCTACTATTTGCTCACACTCTCCCTCTATCCTGTTCAAATTTTCAATCGTTAATAAAATACTTTTTATTCATCCACTCAAGTTCAAATACTTTTTTTAAGCTTGTTGTGGATGACACTTGATGCTATTAGAATTTTTTTTCACATACTAAAAATCTTAGAATTAAAAAAAAAAAAAAAAAAAAAAAAAAAAAAAAATCTGAAATGTTTCAGATTTTAAATTATGTCCAAAGGGGCGTTTTTTTAACGTTTTGAGTGTTACCTTTATTATTAAATATCATGTTCTTTGCACTTAAACCATAAAATTCAGTTCAAGAGCAATATCGCAAAATAATGTTAAATTAAGCATATCTTTAGAATTTCCGATATACACAGTCTCGCGAGCTGGAGATAAAAGTATTTTTTTTTCTATATAACGTTGCCATTTCTCGCTTTGAAAGCATTGAGTTTTGTAAATCAAAAATTCGTTAAAGTTTTACAAAATATAAAATCTATAAAAAATCTATAATAAAACAATTCCAAATTTGGATTTCAAATGCCCAATATCGCAGTAGGATTTCGTCATTCAAAATTCGATGGCTCTATGTACCATTGTTTTATCACAATGCGAGAGATAGACAATCATTTTTGCAGATTTTTCATTATTTAATTTCTTCAAATATAATGCAGGACTCTAACATTTTGTGGCAACAGTTTGAAAGTGAACCGACGTTTATGAGTCCGACGCAAATGCCAAAACGAAAGCAATAGTCCTTCGGGACTGAAATCCCTTTGGACTAAAAAAAAAAAAAAAAAAAAGTATTAAAATTTTTTTATTTAATTAATTATTAATTAATTAATTTTCAATCGTTAACGAAATACTTTTTATTCGTCCACTCAAGTTCAAATACATTTTTTAAACTTGTAATGGATGACACTTGAAGTTAACACAGTTTTTTTCATATATTAAAAATTTTCAAAAATTTTAATAATTATTATTATTATTATTATTATTATTATTTTTTTTTTTGTATTTTAAAAATTTTTCTTTGTTTACCTAAGTAGGAATTGACTTAAATTTTTTATATTACTTGCTGTTAAGAAACTTACTGTTATAATTTGAAATATAAATGAAATGGCATTAAATGAAGCTATTATAAACCAAGTGTATACGTTAAAAAGCAACCGCTGTTTTGTCTGAAAATAGCTTCGCTTTGTAAGCAGAAGGAAAACAATAACATATAAGAGAAAACATCTAAAAATAATATTGGTAATTCCTTTGCATATTATGCAAATGCTATATTAAGCAAATTTTTTTACTGTATTATGCAAATGCTATATTTTTTGCTATATTAGCATATTTCTTTCCTATATTATTCGTAATTTCGTTCCTAATAAGATAATAGGAATAATATAGCAAATAAATTAATTAGGAATGCAGCTAGTATGACATCTAACTCTCAATCATACGACAAGCAAAATATTAACTCGCAAATTAACTGTAGGCAATAATGGCTCAGTTAGTAAAAAAAGTCCTATTAGTCCTGACGTGCTGCCTTTGACAGGAAAGACTTACCTTTCGAATTAGAAGGCGCCTCTGAACTTCGTCCGCTTTTCACATCTGCAGCCTTCGAACAGTTGTTACAGAATGGCGGCAAAGTTGTGTACTTCAGTTACCAACGCAACCATTGACGTTTCGAAGGAAATAATTTTAACCCTTTTTCCAAACCCTCGGATTCCATGAAGGTCATTTCTCTCTCGTGAAGTCTAATTAGTTCTAAAGAGCCACTGAATCCTGCAGGAGAGTATTTCAAGGCCAATAGTGGCAACACAGACTAACTTCCAGTAAGTGTTTGCGTTATATTAAGTTTGATTTGATTTGAAAAGAACAGTTCATAATAAATAATTTTTCTAATTTCTAAATTTTACTCTAGTAGAAATCCAAATTAATTATTACTAAAAAAGCAATATAACTGAGGGAATTTTATTTTTGCTTTCTTTTATTTCAACAAACCGTAGTTAATTCAATTGTTACTTCAGAAATCTATACCATATTAGCGATTATAGACTTTAAGGATTCGAGGGTTCCAGACATTAAATTAAGTACAAGGTAAAAAATTTTATTTTCAGGTATATAAGATATTACTATTTTACTACATAAATTATTAAAACAAAGTTAATTTACAAAATCGCAGAAATTAGCTGTGTTAATAATAATAAAAGTTTTCATTGTAAGTTACTTACTTACGGCGGTTACTCTGAAATTTTTGAGATGCGCGCAGACGATATATTAACGGTTAGAATTAGAAGAGAGTTCATATTTTCTAATCTAAATCCAAAGAATATTAACGGTTAGATTAGAAAATATGAACTGTTTTAGCCTGGCAGAAGATTTTTATTGGCCTACTGCGAGTTTACCATAGAATGAATTTTACGCAGAAGGAAAAATGGAGTTAACGCGACAACATTGTCGCGGTATGATTTTCTGTTATTTTAAAGGGGGATTAAATTAAGAATGCGTTCAACGTCTACAATTAGCATTTGGAAATAAAAGTCCATCTCGTGCTACTATATTCAGATGGTTTACAGAATTTCACAGAGGTCGCATTTCTTCAGAATGGAGAGCACACAGGAAGGACATCGTTAGCAGTAATAACGGATAATGTGTTTGCCACACGGAAATTGTTAATCAATGATAATCGCTGCACTACCATATGATAGCAAAGGAATTTAACTTTGGATCCGTTGACATAGTACATAAAATTATTCATGAAGAACTGCATATCAAAAAACTAGTTTGCCGTTGGGTTTCCCATAATTTAACTGACCACCAAAAAGAGGAGCGTGTCAGAATTAGTAAAGAAACCTTTAAATTACTTAAAAATGGTGCCAATCGCATTATTTCTAAAAAAAAAAAAAAAGAATTCTAACTGGTGATGAAACGTACATACCATTTTTTCACGTTCCAACATGTTAAGAAAGTAAAGTATGGGTCTTTGAAGATGATCAGGCCCCCGCCATGGAGAAAAGACACTGTGCCAAATCACTTTCAAAACATACAGAAAAGTGTTCGAGACAAGGTACAACTATGCCCACCATATTCTTGATGAAGATGAAACCCCACTGATAATTTTTAGCCCAAAGAGGCGATTTGCCCAGAAGGGCTTTTATTTTCGTTTTGCCATTTTGCGTCGGTTCACTTTTCAAATTGTTGCCACCAAATATTAGAGCCCTGCATTATACAGTACAAAGTCTTTAGTCCGGACGTCCATAATCCCGGAATGATCTATAATCCGGACCTCAAAGCTACAAACTTTATGCGCATGCGTAAACGCATTATGCGCGTTTAATACGCGCGTCCGCTACGCATGCGGGTAAAGAGAAGAGATACTGTTTATAGAGAGATACTGTTTATGGAAGAGAGATGTTTTAAAGGAATATACATAAATTTATTACATATTAAGTGTTTTTATCGTTAAATTAAGAATATTTAAAGAACTTTACTGATTTCGATGAACCAGGTGCCTTCTCAAGATCACACGACTTCTCCTCTGACTGCATACCTTCCAGCATAAGGTCCAGGTTCGAGTCCCGGCGAGAGAATTGCTTATTTTCCATGTCATCTTGCTTCAGAAAAAACCTAATGACCAAAATATTAAATTTCATAAAACGGTAAATGTTAATAATAAGAATAATATCGTTCCCAAAAGAAAGAGCGAATTACGCAGTCGCATTTGTTTAATTTACTTAAGTATTTCATTCGTTTCAACTCATTCTTAGAGATGCTAAAATTTTATTCTTAACCCTTTAACTATTAACAGAAAATTTATGTCCCACTAAAAGTTTAAAAATTACTCCTGGGTTAAAAAAGTACACAGAATCTCCTAAATGTTGGGGATCATCTTCTAGTAGTTGGAAAATCAAGACATCGTTGTACACAAATGAACATAGAGAAAAATATATAATCAAAACTAATAAAATCTGAACAAAATATGAAATAGGAAATAAAAGAAATTCCAACTTAGGGCTTCCAGATGCCCATATTCGCTGGAGGATTACGTTATTCAAACTTGGATGGCTCTAGGTACCGTTGTTTAATCACAATGCGAGAAACATCCATACATTTATGCAGATTATTCATTATTCAATTTAATATTAATAATTAATAATATTTAATAATACAGGGCTGTAATATTTGGTGGCAACAGTTTGAAAAATGAATCAACGAAAAATGCTGACGCCTTTTGGCTAATAACAAATATGAGTTGCCCAATGTGTAATGTTGGGGTATGCAAAGAATATGCTTTACCCTGTACCATGTAAAATCTATTTCATATAATAAAGTTTTCCAGAATAATAATTGTGCTAAATTGGTACTAATAGGTGGCGTTAAAAAAGCTCCAAATGTTAAATTTATCTTATTTATGACATATTTTGTTCACTTGGATGGAAAAAGGGATACTTTTTTTTATTTTAAAATTAATAGTCAAAGGCAAATATTCATGTAAAAACATAACTTCTCTCCTTGCTTGATATTTCTCAGCCAAACAGAAATTCATCAAGAATTCATTTTCAGATCTCTTTTTTTCAAGGATACATTTTAACTTACATAAATACCAGTACCATAATATCTATTTAAAGAAAGAGATCAGAATATTTCCGAAGACTAGGCGATTCCAAGAAGACTTTAAAGAATCCGCGACGAGCCACTGCAGGAATGGAAAAAGATTAAGAAATCGGAGGACCCGGAGTATTGTTGAAATACAGAAGTGAGGGATCATCCATCAGTTTCCCAAAGGTAACGTGAGGAAGACCGCAACGAAGAGACCGCACACCAGCCGAGGTCTGGTTTGGTTTATGTAATTAGGGCAAACTCTCGAGGGCTATCTGCCTAAGGGGAGGGGTGGAACTAGCTCGCGTACACGTTATACATGGGGAAAACCACGAAAACGTCCATGCAGCCTGCCCGTTTGCGGGATTCGGACCGAAGTATTAGTGATCAGCGACTTTACCGCCGGTGGCCTCCAACAGCCGAGGAGTGTCTGTCAATGAACTGTGAACCATCTATGAATTGCTACACTGTCTCAAAAACATCACTTTAATATCACAATAACTTATCCAAGTTAATTATGTTTAATGTTTTTCCATTCAATTCTATTTGTTTATTTGTGTACATATACTGATATTTATAGTTATATTTCACCATCATCTGTAATGTATGGTATTGTATTGTAATGTCATTGTCATCAGCAACTGTATTCCCCGGCCCACAAGTTCTCTATGCCCTAATGATAACGTTTCAATTAACACCGATGCGTGGTGTAAGTACGCTCTGTGGAGGTGTTCTTCTCAAGACGGTTAGTGTGAAGGAGCGACACCAGTTCTGCCAATGGCGATGTGTTGCTGCTTCCCACACTTAGTCCTGTCTTGTGTTGCAAGGAACTCGCTGAGCAAAAAATGTTGCGGTATGTCGACAGCAATCAGCGCAGATAACGGAAGATAACTGCAGATTCCATTTCTTTTTTCTATTTAAACCTTCTTTTGTGTTAGAATCGCATTTAGAGGGGAAACATCGGGCAATAAGTCACCTCATTGTCTCATGGAGCCCGAGATGAGCATTCAAAGTGATTAGGTTTCATACAAAGTTAAAGTTTTAATTACAAATATATATTTAATAAAAACATTATTTGATAAAATTGCATTTGTAAATAAGCATAATCACACCCAAAAGCGAAAACTGTGTAATTTAGTTATTTAAACAAATATGTAAAAATTGATTAAAAGTATGTGAAACCAATGGCGTTTTAAATTACTTAAAAACCAGTACCATATATTTATTTATGGAAACATTTATGTTAATGTGAAATATTCTAGAAGGCAATTTAATGCGATAGTTTTCAGCAAAGCAGTATAGTCTTTTGGCAATTTTTGATGTAGCTTAAACTATTAATGAACTCCTCTTATAATTTATTCTGATTTTTTGTTCTGTTTTTAACATTTATTACAAATATTAAATTCTATTTGTAGAGACATGACGATTACACTCATGTCCATAAATTAAGGATAATTCGGAGTCACGCGGAAATTGAACACTAAAATAAATATATCACCTGTAAAATCACTACACACATCTTCAAGAATCATATGCAAATTTCAGGAAGTAACCAGATGACACCGTGGTACGTCACAATGACGAGAGCGTAAGAGAGCGATATATAAGGAATACAAGCAAAGAAGTAAAATTGTTCGCAGGCACTTTATAAGCATTTCAGTGCAATAACCGAATAGTTATGACACAAAGGACGCATTTGGATGATTTTTTACGTGGTAGAATTATCGGCCGACTGTAATGTGGGCGTACCCAACTGGAAGTATCAGACGAACTTGGAATTGCCCAGCGTGTCATCTCCAGGCTTTGGCAACGATTCCAAGATGATGGTAATGTGAGTAGACGTTACAGCACAGGTCGCCCCAGAGTTACAACGCCGAATGAGGACCGGTATTTGGCAGTTACTGCCAAAAGAAACAGGCGGAGCACAGCCTCAGGTCTGTCTCGTCAGCTCTCTTCAGCCACTGGTACGACAATTTCAAGGCAGACCGTGTACAGACGCTTAGGGCAGATTGGTCTATATGCTTCTGGACCTATCAAACGCGTTCCACGTACTGCAACTCACTGTCGCCTGCGGTTAGCCTGGAGTAGAGAGCATGCATTGTGGACACCGCAACAGTGGGCTTGTGTGATGTTTTCCGACGAGTCCAGGTTTAGCTTGCAGTCTGATTCTCTGTGAGAATCAGACTGTTTTTTGCTCAGCGAGTTCCTTGCAACACAAGACAGGACTAAGTGTGGGAAGCAGCAACACATCGCCATTGGCAGAACTGGTGTCGCTCCTTCACACTAACCGTCTTGAGAAGAACACCTCCACAGAGCGTACTTACACCACGCATCGGTGTTAATTGAAACGTTATCATTAGGGCATAGAGAACTTGTGGGCCGGGGGATACAGTTGCTGATGACAATGACATTACAATACAATACCATACATTACAGATGATGGTGAAATATAACTATAAATATCAGTATATGTACACAAATAAACAAATAGAATTGAATGGAAAAACATTAAACATAATTAACTTGGGTAAGTTATTGTGATATTAAAGTAATGTTTTTGAGACAGTGTAGCAATTCATAGATGGTTCACAGTTCATTGACAGACACTCCTCGGCTGTTGGAGGCCACCGGCGGTAAAGTCGCTGATCACTAATACTTCGGTCCGAATCCCGCAAACGGGCAGGCTGCATGGACGTTTTCGTGGTTTTCCCCATGTATAACGTGTACGCGAGCTAGTTCCACCCCTCCCCTTAGGCAGATAGCCCTCGAGAGTTTGCCCTAATTACATAAACCAAACCAGACCTCGGCTGGTGTGCGGTCTCTTCGTTGCGGTCTTCCTCACGTTACCTTTGGGAACTGATGGATGATCCCTCACTTCTGTATTTCCAACAATACTCCGGGTCCTCCGATTTCTTAATCGTTTTTCCATTCCTGCAGTGGCTCGTGGCGGATTCTTTAAAGTCTTCTTGGAATCGCCTAGTGTTCGGAAATATTCTGATCTCTTTCTTTGAATAGATATTATGGTACTGGTGTTTATGTAAGTTAAAATGTATCCTTGAAAAAAAGAGATCTTCTGAAAATGAATTCTTGATGAATTTCTGTTTGGCTGAGAAATATCAAGCAAGGAGAGAAGTTATGTTTTTACATGAATATTTGCCTTTGACTATTAATTTTAAAATAAAAAAAAGTATCCCTTTTTCCATCCAAGTGAACAAAATATGTCATAAATAAGATAAATTTAACATTTGGAGCTTTTTTAACGCCACCTATTAGTAATATGGACTTACTTATGAAGAGCTGAGGTACCCGTTACCACTAAGAAAACATCATTGAACGACACCGTTATGGTGGTGCTGGAGTGCTCATTTGGGGTGGAATTATTCTGGATTTCAGAACTGACCTGCATGTTCAAATTGGAACCATGACAAGCCAAATCTATCGGGACGTCATTCTGGAACAACATGTACGTTTGTTTCGGGGCGCTATGGGCGCACAATTTGTGTTTATGGATGACAACGCCCGTCCTCACCTTGCAAACATCGTAAGCGAATGCCTTCAATCGGAGGATATCACCCGTATGGACTGGCCAGAATTCTCACCGGACTTGAATCCAGTAGAGCACGTGTGGGACATGCTTGGCCGACGAGTTGCAGCCCGTCAACCTCCTCCTACATGTCTACCGGAACTTCGGAGAGAATTGCTTTTTGAGTGGTGTTATATCCCCCAAGATCAGATCGATAATTTGATACTCAGCTTGCCTAGGCGTCGTACGGACTGTATTGCATCGTCTGGGAGGCATAGAATGTATTAGCAATCATACCAACCATGTAATATTGGTTTTTTGTAAATAGTTTTTTTTTTTTTTTTTTTTTTTGTAATTTGCTCTAGGGAGAAAAAATCGCTAATTTCTTAATAATATCAAACATATAGCATCTTTTTTTGCTCTTTGCCTTTTGTTTAATAAATAAGCTTTACAAATAAGTCAAATTTGTTTTACTTCTAACTCTTCCTTTGCCTGATTTTGCAT